TGACGGAGGCCTTTGCTCTTGCGGTTCTTAGCCATTGCTACTAAGATAATTGCAAGATGATCTTGGTTATAAATTTGGCTTAAAGATTTTTGAAAGTCTTCCCCACAGACGGCGCCAAATTGTTTCGGGTGAAAAAAATGGGACCTTGCCGAAGGTCCGATGAAGTGGAGAAGACTAGATTCGATCCAAGTAATGTTGGGCCGAAGGTTTCCTGCACAGTAAACACACGTAAACTAGCCTCGGGGGTGTTGCCGAGGAAGGCCCCTCCGATGCTAAAGTCAGTACAGTGTGTAGAAAGAGAACACTATGCAAGAGAATTAATTGCTTGAGGCTTTGCTTGAATGAATGTACAAATGTAATATTGATGGCTTTTATACCTCTGCATACATGGAGAAGTTGGGCCTTAGCCCAATTGGCTTGCCTTGAGGACTGATCTTTGACTTTAGCACAATTGGAGAGATGAACCTTGACCTTAGGCTTTTAATTGGATCATTTAATGTCTAAGCCCAATTGGACTAAATTGGACCCAAACAGGTAGTATTTGCCAACAACTAACATGGTGGATGTTCGTCGTACCCATCATTATGCTCGATATCAAGTTATACGGGCAATGGTTTATTAAGGGAAAACGAGTTCTAACGAAGGTGGCTAACCCGGCTTGCCAGCTATCCGTCATAGCAAATTTGGTAGCAACAAAGGAAGCTATGTATATGGGATGGTCGGAGATGGCGTTGTGCTTCTTCGCATTAAGCATGGCTCACTACTTGGTGTTGTTTGTCACCCTTTATCAAAGACATCCAGGGAGCAATGGTGTTTCGCCGTCATTAAGGCCGGTTTTCTTCTTGTTCATTGCGACTCCTAGCATGGCTAGCATAGCATGGTGCTCAATAGCCGGGACTTTTGATGTTGCATTAAAAATGCTCTTCTTTCTTTCCATGTTTCTCTTCATGTCCTTGGTAAGTACCCATACTCACTATTTTTCCTTTTCTTTTCTACTTTAAAATTACCCTTTGAGTCACCTTGCACCTACTTATTCCACTACTAAGTGGTACTAATAATAGATTTCTTTTTCTCTGACAAAAAACGTGTTTAGCAAGAAACTATAACCCAACAACTTTTTACATATTACAGTAACATTTATTTTATGTAGAAATGTATGACAAAATCACACGCACATCAATGCAATTGAAGAATATATCTTATTAATACTTTCCTCTTTTAACTTCTTATACATAGCTTTTCGGACTCATTTTCCATTTATTTATTCAGTATTACTCTGTAGTACAGTTAAAAAAAATACGAGTAACTTTCATTTGATCAATTTTATCATAAAACTTTACAATTTCGATGGAATTAATAGATGTTGTATGGAAATTGAGAATATGTCTCCATGTTACACACTATTCAATTCGTACATAAGAGTATATGTAGACGTGTTCGTAGTTGATTTTTTTACCTGTGTTTGTTAATGTTGCAGGTATGTAGGCCAACACTATTCAAGAAATCACTAAGAAAGTTTAGTATAGCATGGTGGTCTTTTTCACTTCCTTTGACAACACTGGCTTTGGCATCCGTCAAGTACGGGTAGGAGGTGAAAGATGGCGTAGCACAAACACTAGCACTTGCCTTATCAATTGTTTCTATGATTGTTATCCTTGCTCTAATGGTCATCTCTACTATCAAGATTAACACCTTGTTCCTTGCTACTCATCAAGTACAAAATTCAAACACCAATAATTTAACTAATAAGTAATAATGTAATTAAATTAATAGTTAATTAATGTACTAATTAATATTATATATTCACTTTCCTTAATTCCTTTTATTAGGTAAGAAGAAATTAATATAAGATTGAGAGGGATGTATCAATATTAATGTTATAATGTACATAGTGTATAAGGGGTGTACACAAACTGGCTTGAACATGAAAATCGACCCGAATCAAACATGTTTAGACTGGACCAAAACCAGACCTGGTCCTTAAAAAACCATGATTCCGGGTTTCAGGTGTAGTCCGAGTAAAGCCAAATTTTCAAGTCCGGACCTAAAATCGGTAAAGCTACTTTTTTTTTAAGAACAAATAGTTTTCTATCTTTTCATTTGCAAACCCCACTCTAATCTGTTTGCCTGACCATCACTCCCCATGCGACCACAGTCGACCGTATAAACGCCGACCTGCAAGCCACTAGCTTGACAGGTCGACAACAACAACTCCATGTCCCCCCCTAGTAGGGATGTTCAAAAATTGGTCCGGACCCAAAAAATGGATCGGACCAAATTTATCGGTCTGGTCTTTGAATCGAGATTTTTATTTTTTCGATCTTCGGTCCGGTCCAGTCCAAAACCCTATAAAATAGGTTTTGGACCAGATTAGTTTTTTTGCTTAAAATTATACCTAAAACTTTTAATAATAGTTAAGATTATCCTTAACAAGCATGAAAAACTTTAGTCATATAAGCTTGTTTGTACTAAATATACAAAAAAAAAAGACGTTAAACTATTGTTTTCCCTTTATTTTTTTTCTAGCTTTACATTAATTACTTAAAATTTGGATTTTTTTTATAAAAATTCTAAAATCGGTCCAAACCAGTCCGGTCTGGGTTTTGAACCGATTTTTTAGTCCGGTTCAGTTTTGCTCCTAACTTAATCGTTCCGGTTTTCAGTTCTTAAAATTCAATTTTTTGATCCGATCTTGGACTGATGAACAACCCTACCCCTTAGTGTCATACACCTCCTCCTTCCCTCAGCCTCAAGCGATCACTCCCATCACCGGCGCGCCAACCATCCCGCACCCAACCACCAGCACACGAAAACCTGGCCACCCTGCACCCAGCCACCAGCGATTGACAATCCTATAAACAGGTTTCTTATTTTTTTTTTTTTAAAAAAAAAGTCAATAATCAGGTTTATTCAAGTCCAAACTCGGACCAACCCTAATTTCAAGTTTGTACCAGAACCTTAGCTGTTGAATCAGGTCCGGTCTGCGGTCCTTAAAAATCAATGATTCAGGTCTCAATCCATTTAGCACACTAGCTATATATATGTGTGCAATATGAAAATCTCAGCTATGAAAATCAAATATTAATAATTGTCTTAAATCAACTCTAATAAATAGTGTTTTGACAATTATACCCTCTTACTGATTATTTGCTTATTTGTCCCTATCAATGTTATTTGTTCCTTTTTTTTTTAACAAACTCTTAAGAATAATGTACAGACACTAATACCCCCTAAGAGCATGTTTGGTAAGAGTGTTTTTTGTGTTGGAAATGGATTCAATTGAAGCATTAGCGTTACAAATTGTTTGGTCGAAAGACTTGAATTACAATTACCATTACCTAAAGGTTAAGGCTTAAGGGTGAGCATAATAGGGTACCTCGGTTGGAACCTGTTAACATGTTCCTCAAAATGAGAACTAGAACGGAACCCGTTGAACAAGTTCCTGGAAAGTGGGAACCGGAACCTGCAAGTTCCGGTTCTGATTCCGTTGCCGATTTAGGGTACCCTATCTTTCAATATATTTCTTTTTTTTTGCAAAATTATTTCAAAATAAATTGGAAGGTCATAAATTTACAACTCTTACAACTTGCAAGTACATCAAACCAAATATAGTTATTTACCAAACATAATACATATATTTATGACTATTAATTATTTATTAATTCATAAAATTTTGGACTTAATTTGATATATGATTAGCGTTAAAATAATACTTTTAATAGGTTACAGGGTACCCTATAGGTTCCGATTCCAAAAAAACGAGAACATGAACCGGAACTTGTTGCAACAGGTTCCCCATTTTACTCTCCGGAACCAGAACCTCTTGTAAAAGTTCCAAAACTGATTTAGGGTACCTTGATTTTTTGCTCATCCCTACTAAGGGTAATGATTTTACCTATTCGTTATCTCTCTAAAACCTAAGGCAACAATTACCCTTAATCTCATCAAAGAAAAATAAAAGGAGATAGTTTTAAATGATTCATTTTCATAACTAAACCAAACAAATAGAAATGTAATTAAGAGTTAAATAATTCATTTTCTCCCTCTTATTTGTTTCCTTTCCACTTTATTTTCATTATTCATATCAAACACCCCTAAAAATATTTATTTACATATTTTTCTCTCATTAATATTGTCAACCATTGGAGGGCTCCCTAAACATGGCTAGCTATGGCGCGCACGTTAGCCATTCTAGTACCAAAATCAATATGAAAATTCTACAGTAAAAATGACTATAATAACTTTTAAAATTGGATGGGAGTGATTTAATGATATTTGAATCATATTTTAATGCTGAAATGAATTAAAAATCATTTCTCTTTTTTTAGGGATTCATTTTATATTTTTAAAAATTAATATTCTAATATTTGAATTATTTTTTTCAAATTATTTTATGAAAACAGTTTCAATTATCAATAAAATTAAAAATATTAAGTTTCTTTATCAAGAAATAATTAAAATGATTTTTAATTAATATTAACATTTGAAAATAATTCAAAAATCAATAAATAATAACAGTTCATTTTTAAAAATTATGGTTGTCATTTTCAAACGACAACCACACAATCATCCAAAAGAACCAACTTATTCCCAAAAAATACTCAAAACTTTTTTTTTTTTTTTTTTTGGTGAAGAAAAAATACTCAAACTTAAATCTTAATAACCAGACACATATTTGACCCAACAATCAATGTTTTTACTCTTTTATGATAAAATAAATTAAAATGTTATGATAAAATAAATTAAAATTTTAAAAGAAAGTTGTCATGAAAAAGAAGTAATAAGTCAAAAGCCACCACTACCATGAAAATTAAAAACCAACATTTTTTTTTCCAATGAAAATGAAGGAACCATCACTTTTATCTACCTCCCACTTTCATATCATATTTCTGAAAACACTGGAAAAAGGCAAAGGTATGTCCCAATATTAGAATTTAAATACAACCAAAAAGAAGAAAAGAGCACTAACATAAAAGTGGCCTACAAAAATAATGCAAGTAATAATAAAATTATTAATAAATAAATAAAAATTTGGCAATAGTACAGTACAGATTTGTATCACGCTCCTCATTCAAAACTGACACCTAATAATATCACATAGCAGTTGAAATATGACAAAATGCCCACCCACTGAAATACAACTAAACATTCTTAGCCAAAAAAACTTCCAATTTAGACAGCATTTCTTGCTTGTTTAATATGCAAGAAACTACAAAACTTTAGTTTCTTCTACCAAAATTTCTTATCTTTGAAAGATGGTGCAAAGAAAGGTGATAAACAATAAGCTTGGAATTCAAGCTAGTATCCTCAAAACAGATAAGAAGCAGGCCATCATAAATCCCTCCATCCAAAACCATGATGGCAAGACCAAAGGAGCCGATTTGAAGGCCGTGAAGATGAAGAAATCGCGGTCTGTTAAAAGGTCCAACGTCGATATTAGTCATCACACGACACCGGAAATCCATGAAGTGGCTCGGCAGCTAGGAAAGCCACCTCAATTTGTCACACCGGTGAAGACTCCGAGCCCCAAGAAGACTTTACCATGTAAGTATCCTTACATGTCCCCGAATTATATGAAGAGTACAAGCAGTTCTGAGGCAAGAAAAGAGAGAAAAACAGCTAAGGAAAGTAGCAATGCTAGCATTTCTAAGCTTCATAAAGTTGCAAAAACATTAAATAAGTTATCTAGTTTGAAAAAAATGAGGGCCTTAACAAAGTCACCTAGCTTTAAACACACAAGATCAGGATCCTGTAAAAAGGTTGTTTTATGTCAGAATGATGATCTTGATGTGCAAAGAGCTACTTGCTCATCAACCTTAAAAGATTCTAAGTTTCCCCATTACCTTAAACTCAAACCCGGGGCAACTGAAGCCGAAGGAAACTCGGTGTTTAAGGTCTGCCCTTATACCTATTGTTCCCTTAATGGCCATGAACATGTCTCTGCACCTCCCTTGAAGCGCTTCTTGGCTTCAAGGCGGCGGCTGCTGAAGACCCTGAAAGTTAAACCAGAAGTCCTTTCCCCTCGTATTGCTAAGGCGACTGAGAATAACAAGGCCATAGAAGAAAGGGATCGAAAAGAAGATTTCTTCGTCGAAGTCTATGTCCCAGATAAAGAGGTCTCTGAAAGCATGTCTGATGGGCCATGCTCTGAAATTGACTTACAGGATGATCTTGATCAAACTGAAGACACTAATTTATCAGGCATAAATTTCAGTCTTGAAGATGTAGATTTTCCACCAACTCCTCTTCAGACACAAACATCATTTGAGAGCCAGAGCTCTCCTAGTGAGTTCTTTGGCGAGAACTCGGATATGGAGTGGGAAGAGGGGCAAAGTCCTGCCACCCATGACAAATATGAGGATTATGTTCAGACAGAATACAGTAAAGTTCAAGATGAACCAGAGTTTGAGTTAAACAATGGTGCAAGCGAGTATTTGGAGTTCCTAGCTGATGCATACACACCATGTTTTCATGATGAAATTGTGGAGTGCCTGAGTTTCAGTGATACAGACTCTTTGCCAGATAACGAGTCTACCCAGACAGGTACTTTCTTCGCACTAATAAAAACATATGTTCAGTATTTACTTCCTAGATCACAGTTAAGCTACATTTGATCATTATTAATGATACTCTATAAATATGGAACTTAAGGATCATAAATCTAGAATTTTATATAAGATAATTTCTATTATGATTTCACTGGTATATCAAAAGTAAAAACTATGGGTAAAAGTACATTCCCATAGATCATAGATATATTAATTTGGACAATTATGAGACATCGTATTGCAACCGAACCCTACTTCATACAGTGTTCACTGATTAGATCATAAAATATACACAAATATTACAATATACTACTACTAGATAGAATTATGGTCAAAATCTGTTCCAATGATCATACATATATAAATTTGGACAATTATGTAGACATCGAGTCACATTCAAGCCCCACCTCAGATAGTGTTAAGTACTGATTAGATCAATTTTACAAAATGTTGTTGGATATCATATATAATTGCAACCTGACTGTGACATCTGGTGCAGATGATAAGTACGTAAAAGAGCTAAACATGGTCATAGATGATATGAATTTTGAACCAAAGAATGAAATTACTGAAGAGTCTCACCTAAGTGATGAAGCAACTGTCCATGCTGTGAAGCTAGAAGATGAGTCCATGAACGAACAGGGCACATCTTTGTTTGACCTTATTGAGGAATTTACTGAGGCCCAAAATGAAGAACTTGAATCTTATGAGTTTGAAGTTGAAACAGATGCTGATGAATCAAATGAAGGAAACTACACAGTAGGAGATATCAGAGAAGAAGATGTTGCTGACTTTGTCTTGGAAGATTCTTCTCGTACTAAGGAAGATTCTGAAACTGATCAGAGTGATTCAGGGAATGAAGCTGATGCTAGCCATAGCATTACCAATAACGGAAATGTCTTTCCAGACAAAGATTTTACAGAATGGGAAAGGACTAAAGCTGACAATTGCACCAGTAAAAGAGCAGCAAATTCCGAGGAAGAAGAGAAATATTCAAACAACGTAGAGCTTCGCTCAGATGAGAATACTGATGTTGAAGTCAAAGAATCAGAAACACAAGATCACAAGACAGAAGCAGCAGATGCATCTCTTAACATCAGAAACAATATACAAGAAGCCAGAAAACGCATTTCCAACAAAAGAGAATCTGATTGCAACTTAGAGCTCCTGGATAGCTGCAGCAAATTAAAGAGGTTTTTGAGATGCAGGAAAGCAGATGAGGACATTGAGGAAGAGAAAGAATTTAACCCAAGAGGACCGAACTTTCTTACAATTGAACCTGAACCGGAATCAGAGAAGGTAGATCTCAGGCACCAGGAGATGGATGAGAGAAGAAATGCAGACGAGTGGATGCTCGACTATGCACTTCAGAAGACAGTCAACCAACTTGCTCCTGCTCGAAAAAGGAAGGTGGCATTACTAGTCGAAGCTTTTGAATCAGTTCTGCCAATACCAAAGTTTGAGTCGCATATGAGGAAAAATACATCAGGCTTCCCAAATGCAAGACCCATTCAAGCTTGCAGATAATATATTTTCTTTATAAAGGTAATCTTAAACAGCCTACTTTAATCAATCTACAGCTTGGTTCTTAAATTATTTCCCCAGTTAGATTATGATACATTTGTTTTTCCATCCAGTAAGAAAATGTGCACCTTAGCAGTTCTTTCACAATGCATAAAAATGGTAAGGAAATGCAGGTTACAAGCAACCATGCAGCTGATAGATGTACTGAAAATGAACTACTGCTCAGATGTGTGCAAATAGAGTAATAGACAATCAGAACTCCAAGTACAAACTTTTGTGTTCCGAACAGTATATCTGAGTAGGACGCGGTAGTAAGTTTAAGTTAGCTATTGATAACTTAAGTTGTAGTGAATTTGTGTGACAGACTGATAGATGATCTTGCTTCTGTTTTCTAGGCTTGTTCTGTAGAAGTGTGCCGTTTGCTTCAAATCTTATAATTTAGTTGTATGGTACTCTGGTGGTTTAAGTTATGTGCTTCAGTCACACAACTTTTGGTTCATTCTGTTTCATTGTAACTTGTAACCATACTTTAACAGCACTACTAGAAAATCGAAATCCTCAATACCTTCATCAAAGTAACGCTACCCCAATTCAGATCCAACCGAATTTCAGTTGATACATCATCAGTTTGGAGATATGCAGTAGATTTTTATAATGCTTAGTCAATAGAGGTTTAAATACTTTTAAATGTGTCCTAACATGGTACGGAGTAAAAGGTTATCATCCTATTAAGCCATTAAGGTATATATGGATAACTATTATTCATTGTCCGTCCTTAAAGCCACAAACTAGTCTAATGCATATACAAGTCTACAACCTTAAGCCACTTTGTTTATATTCAATTCCAACTGCACATTGTGACATTGACCAACAAAAGATTCATTCAAGAGTAACTCAAACTTCTCAAAAAAAAGCTTCCAAATCACTATATCCTAAACCACTTGATCATTGAGAGAAGAATCAAACTCAACATTAATTCCTTTTTTTCTTTTTTTTTTTGGCCTAAAAAGATTAAAGGTGCTACTAGGTATACCTGGGTACATTATAGAAGTGTTGCTATTTACAAATTCTTAGTTGTTGTTGGGTGCAACTACTTCTAAGTGTACCACTGTACCCAAGAATGAATTTTCGCTCATATTATCAGTTCGCTCAATAAAAACTTTCCAAATGAGCAAACAGATAAGACTGTGGAACAAGATAGAGGTGTTGATTTGCTTAGCCAATTCCCCATATCCAAACCATTACAGTATCCACAAAGGGAGAGTCTACAGTACATGACATACACTGTTATGTATTATAAATGATACGTATTGCTATGTACTACTAAATTAGATATATAGATTTAAAATTAAAGCTTTAATTTTTTTTTTTTAAAGAAAAAAGTTAATTCCTCCTGCCAAAAAAATTAAAAAGTCGATTCTTTCTCCTCCCAATTTTGCTTTCCACTTTAATTATTTCATGTAGCTTGAAGCAAATTATAATTGGAAGGAATAAAATCACTCAATATCATTGATTCATTGAAGATTCAATTGAGGTAACTAATTTGATTGTTTGTCAATTTTAAATCTTCCTCACATATCTAAAACCCTAATTTGTGTTTCCAATATTGGATCAATCAATTATTAACATTTACCTTCATTGAATTCGTGATTAATATTTCAAACATTGAACAATCATATTTCATTTAATTATTTTTGTATCAACGAATATTAAAGAATAAATAATAGCATTGATATAAACATAAAAATATTAATTGAAATCTAATGTGGGCTTCATGGCATTGTAGGGGCTGCACTTAGGGACATCAAATCAGTGTGGAAGTGCCCGACTAGTGGCTGCATCAAGGCTACTGATGATGCTCATATTCCAGCTGGGAATTGGGCATGTGTTGGTGTTGTTTTCAGAGAGATGGTTTGGGTATAGAAAGTTGTGGATCGTATTTGTTTGATGTTTGTTGTTTTTCTCATGTTCAAAGAGCTTGTACCACATTAGCTCACCTAATGGCACTGTGGGATACAAGTGTGAATTCCGAGTATATATGTTTGGGATTGATTATGTACTTGTCTTATACGGATTAGAAACTCTTTAGGTCAAAATCTGAAAAAATTGTTGTCATCTATAATAATAGATCACTTCATCATCAAGTGTTATATGATTATCAAAGCTAGGTAATTAATAATTATTCAAAAGTTTTAGGGTTTGAACGTAAGTGTTGTGTTGCCAAATCAAGTGTTTGCTCAATTGCTCTTATGTACGAGTAAGTGACATGGTTTGTGCTTAATAATTTCATATTGTGTGGACATTTAGTTTTGTACTCTTAAAATTGTGTTGTATTTTCTATTGAATAGCTTGAAAGCTTATTGACTCAAATGATAGAGCAATGTACCTTTGTACATAGATGTAGGTTCAAATCCTACATAAGCTCTGGTACCTTCAAGTGAAACTAGGAAACACTTGACCATCTTAGCTAGATTTAAATTTGTTTAAAAATACAAATATTAAATAGTATATTAGATAAATAGAATTAGTGGTACATAGCATTACATTACTTTAGTGGTACATTGTGGTACATGTCATTTACTATAGAATTTTCGATCCGCAAAAGTATAAAACCCTGATGGAAAAAACATCTTATGCAGTACCAATTCGAGGCTGTCTAAATGCCAACCTTTAAATCACATGCTGGTACCATCATATGAGGCCTATCAGTATTTTTGGATCTTATGTTGGTACAATATTTATATTTTAACACGAGGTTTAAAAATACATATGAACAATTATTAATTTATTATTATCATTAACGGCTAGAGTAATTGATGGCGACCTTAGCGTGGGCTAATGGGCTTCGTTGCATCAAACATCCTGTCTAAAGAACGTCCAAGCAAATGCAAGTGAGACATAAAGAAGCAAAATTGATCAAAAAATGCTACTCCGTAACAATTCTCTCATACAATACATTATAGAATTCGTCATGTCTCCGTCTCCCTTCTCATTGGCATCCTACCCACGAGTTTAGGTTTATTCCATCGGTTAAATTTCAAAACAACATAAAATGGGTATTGGCAACCCGGACAAGGAAGAGGAGAGTTTGGTCCGCAAACTAGGCGGAGGTAATAGGCCAATAGTACCACCTTTCCTCTTTCTCCAATGTAGGACACTCACAACCGGCTACAATGGGTTTCAACACCATCATTATATAAGCTACGGGTAATATAATTCTACTCACAAGTGTCTCGCCCGCAAATATTGGGTCATTTAAACAGTGAGGGTTGAGGTCTAGTCTAGTTGTCGTTCAATTTACCAAAAAAAAAATTACGGAGTATGTTCTAACTTTTCTAAGATGCTTTCAAATGACCTTAAACAAGTATGTAAATCTAATCCAGACTGTAATGAATGCAATTCTAACCTTTAAAATTTAGAGTAAAATGTGTAATTAAACAGAAATAGCAAAGAAGATAACATTGGTGCAATGGTGCTGATGGCTAACCGTTGAGGAAGAACGATGGACTGCATAACAGTGCAATGAACGTTTGTCGGGACTGAGAATGCGAGGTTTTGCTTTTGTTGCTGGTAACGGAACAAATTCTCTAAATTAATTTTGCTTCCTTTGAAACTACTTGTGTAGGAATTATAGAATTGTCTGGTTTTTTTTTTTTTTTTTTTTTTGTCTAGGCTGGTTAGGAGAAGAGCCCTATCGGGCCGAAACTTCTCACACGTCCTCTCAGTCCGTGTTAGCGCAAATTTTAAGATGCACCATGGTGCACCTAGAAATAGGTGCACCACGCCTATACTTTTGAATATTTAGTAAAAAAATCTGAACAATTGCAAATTTTGAACATGTAGTAAAAATATCTGAACATCGCAAATTTTGAACATTTAGTTAAAAAATCTGAACAATCGCAATGCACCACACATATACTTTTGAACATTTAGTAAAAAAATATGAACAATAACAAATTTTGAACCTTTAGTAAAAAAATATGAACAATCACAAATTTTGAATTATTGCAAGTCAAACAAATTTTGAAAGAAGTTTGTCTGACTCGTAATAATTCAATAGTTTTGTAATATAAACTGAACATTTACTGTATACAAAATGAACATTTCTTTATAAAATATGAACATAAAAATTGCATGTTTATGTTCATTTTTTGTGACGTGTTCATATTTTTTTTACTAGATGTTCATATTTTTGTAAAATGTTCAAAAAAATTTCACTAAATGTTCAAAAGTATAGGAGTGGTGCACCTATTTCTAGGTTCACCATGGTGCACCTATTTCTAATTGTCGTGTTAGCAAGCTAGGCAATTTGAGAGTTGGGTGGAAGGGTAAGGGAATCTCTACCCTAAAGTGTCTCTTGTGGCGTTTGATCCTACAAGTTTATACTCTATTACCTTATAGTTGTGAGATACAAACCATAACACATAACTTGGTATTATAAAATTGTCAATTGAAATGTTGGGTTCAAGTTATGTCATTACTCATTATATCATCTATAGCTAGAACAATTCTGATTCTGACTAGGTCAATAACGACCTTTTAGGTTGGGATGACTAGGTCAATAACGACCTTTTAGGTTAGGAATGGTTTAATATTCGTACAGTGTTAGGGCCTGTTCTCATTGACTGAACTCAGCTTGAACTGAACTGAACTGAGCTTAACTGAACTGAACTGAATTGAGCTGAACTGAACTGAACTAAAATGAATATTTTATAAGAGAAGAAAATTATGAGCGGAGCTGAACTGAACTGAGCTGAACTGAGCTGAGCTGAACTGAACTGAACTGAATTTCAACGTAATAAGAGAACATGCCCTTAGTTTGTATTGTGTTTGGTTATATCAAAGCATACCAATTTTTTGTCTAGTTAATATATGCTTGATTTGGGTTTGTTTCGATCATCTATTTTTATTTTATTTTTTGTTAAGTTAGTTTGGTTTAGACCAACTCATTTTGGATTTGTATAAATTCATTTCAAGAAATTGTCATCAAGTTTTTTAGGTTCGAGTTAAATCAACTTTTAATTTAAGTAGGTTATAAATCAACCTACTTATGCAACCCAATTTGTTGCACAATTAGATTGCCAAATATTTGCCTTGGTCTCTTGGATGAATCATTTACTTAGGTGTAGTTTATGAGAAAAATTAATTAATACCCTAATGTATGTTTACTCTTCTAGCAATCTACCTACTATAGATTTTACACTTTGCACTTCAATTTGACCTTTTTATAGTTTTTTTATCTTTAACAACACTACAAGTCTACAACAGAACTATCATCAGAGGATTCAGAGGGATGGATTTCCACTTATTAATGTTTGGTGTAAAAAAAGTGGACAACTGTATATTAGATAATCTTGTATGGGTTTTGTTATAACTTTAATACGTTGAATTACACACGTAGACCCTGTTCAATTCACCTTGAAAAAATAACATTCAGCAAAAATAATTTAAGTTCATTAAAAATAATTTTAATTTAGTAAAAATAAGTTCAATTCAATA